AATGGAGCTTCGCAGGACACAATGCTCGACTAAAGGATAAGAGATGGAACCACGAGATACAACAATGAAGATTATGGCTAGGAAAGAGAAGCAAAGGAAGACCCCAAATGAGATGGACGGATAATATTAAGAAGATAGGAGGACACAACTGGAAGTTTATCTATCTAATTAGCCTTCTTCGGCCCATCTTTGGACATAGACCTCCCCAATCCTTTTCCATTCTTCTCTGTCTGTCGCTACAGTCATCCACCTAGAGCCCACGTGTTTCTTGATATCATCTGCCCATCTCATTTGGGGCCTTCCTCTGCTTTGTTTATATTCCCACGGTATCCATCTTATAAGAATTTTGTTCTATCGGTCTTCTTTTTGTCTTATATTGTGTCCGGCAAATCTCCATTTCAATTTTGCAACTTCTTGTCTAAGATCCCTCACAACTGGAAGTAAGTGACGCAAAATATAATACACTGGATTGATTTGGGGGAGGCCTATGTTCAAAGTTGGATCACTTAAGGCTTAAGAAGAAGAAAGTGTTATACGAAGCAGTTTAAAAGATAATTACATTTTTTTATCACCTTCGTAACAAAATAACACCCATTAATATTAACAGTAGAATTGTAGAGATTTGATATCAAAAAATAATTTATGTTCAAAAAATTTTGAATGTAGTCCATTATTGTCTAAAATTAATAACATAGCGAAATATATAATATTTGTATACAGGGTTGGTCGAAACTTGGAATGAGTATTATCTTAGTTTTCTTAAATAGAACACCCTGTATTTTAGTATTGTAATAGAATGTCATTTTATAACACTTTATTATTTATTAAGCAATTTCCTTACCTTCCTGAGGTACTTCGACGCCTAAGTAGACAAAAAATTACTCAGCATAATTAAAAAGGGAAAAATACAATACTTGGGTTATGTGTTGAGAGGTGGCAGATATGAATTACTCCAAATCATATTGGAAGGTAAAGTTCAGGGCAAAAGATCAATTGGAAGACACCAAAACTCGTGGCTGAGACCTAAGATGGTTTGACTCATCCACAGAAATCTTTCGCGCAGCAGTTTCCAAAGCTACAATTGCCGATTGGATCGCCAACCTTCGAAAGGAGACGGTGCAATAAAACTTGTTAACTGCTTCAATGTGTGAGTTATTCGTAGTTTCTTGAACCAAACGTTAATTGCAACAAAAATTATTCAAAATTTTATGAGGTTGGCCGTGGAAATAATCAATATACAATATTTTTTTTGAAAAATACATTATAATCTAGATTCTAGACTGATCCTTAATTTGTTTGTATTTGATGAGATATTAAAATACATAAGTATGTATTTGAGATTGTTGGTGTGTAAAATATTATTAAAAACAAAAAAAAAACAACAACAAACAAACAATTTTACCTAGTTGGCTATGACTTTGACACTAAACTTGCTTAAAAGTTTAATAACTATAATAAAAGAGTTGAATTTTGTCATTGGGTGCAGGAATAAATTCAGAATGATGCATAGTTCTTGGAATATGTTTTATTTAAAGAAGAAACTACGTTCTACAGGAATTGTATTGCAAACGGATAAAATTTTCACTAAAACTTTTTTTTAAATTTTTCAAAAACTGTGCGTTATCTTATTTCGCAGTATAAGTTTTCATAAAAATGCGATTTCTTGCATCATTTACTCTTGCAGTTATTCACTGCATGAATTTTCGATAAACTCTTAAACTACATTAATTTTTTTATCAATAAATATGTCGGATTCATCAGTTAACGTTGTAAATACGGTTTGATACCATTCATTCTAAGAAAATATTTTGAATGGTCTAATTGTTCCTTTATTATATAGTGCTGCGGTATAATCACAACCTGTATACCCGTTGAAAACAGGTACACTTTGACATAATTTTAATAAACCCATCTTCAGAGCGAAATCGATGCAGTTGATGCAATCAAGGTGTTGGTTATGTAATGTTTTAGTTGCTGAAGACGCTAGCCAAATTGCACATTGTAAAATTGTTGCATATTTCCCAGCAAAATCACCAAAACATCAGTATCCGAAACATTAATTAATAGTATATTACTTTATGAGTCGGAGAAGCATAACTTTTCTTTACGCGCCCGATATTACGCGCCAAACGAAGTGAGGCGCGTAATAGAGCAAGTCAAGAAAAGTCGCTTCTTTGCCGAATAAAGTATACTATTTTTTTTCAAACGTAGCAATTTTCAACCATAAATAGTACAATTCATACGCTATTTTTACTCGAAATTAACTGTGACAACTATCAAAGTTGTCTAGATGTTAGAAATTAAAATAATTAAGTCGTCGGTGGGATTTGCGTCTCCCTGGTTACAGTTGTTTGACAGTTGTTTGCAATTATTAAAGACAGCGTATTGTTTTTCGCAAGCCGCCAACATCGGGAATGATTGCTGAAAAATGTTCTCGACCATCCGTATCATCAACAATTACCATTGCGTATCAAGAGTCGGGAACATTTTTGCACGGTTTCAATTTTGAAAATTCCTCATTAACTAATTGTACTCTTAATATTACTATAAATAAAAATGATGTTTAATAATTGTTAATGACATTTGTATTGTTGCTTTATGACAGGTTTTATATTGTTGCCATGACAACATTTTTCCCTCCGCCGTAAAGAAATGGGAAAAAAACTGCTGCCGGCGGAGAAATCACAAGACCAATCACACTTTGACAGGATCAAGTTAGATAAGTAATGCCATCATTATTTGACATTTGAAGAAAAAATTATTTATCCATGTTCAATTTTGTGAGCGTGAAAAACAATCCGCGTACCCGCTTTTTGGTGATAACATGGAAAATCAGTTTCTTTAGTTTTTTTAATGTAATTATTGTGAGCTTGATACGAGTAGCACTGAATCAGCTGCTAAAAATATTTTTTTACTTTGGATAATTGTAAAATTTTTAACTATCCCAACAATTATTTAAAAAGTGCCTCTTACCATAGTTTTTAAAGCTTTGTAAAAATTCGTTAAACTAAGTTCTGTAGTTCAAGTAACTGAATTTCTTTCGAGCTTGACGCTCAGAATCTTTGATTGAGGGTGACAAATAGCGTTCAAATATTAAATGGATTTCTACAGCATTTGTAGAAAGAATTTTTATTAGTATTGATTCTGCATTTTTTTCAAATGTTTGTGGCCTTGAGTTACCAATGATGTATAAGTAATAAAAACCATCTTTTATTTCTACATTAATAAATAAAGGATCAACCATTTCTGTATTCGATTTCAAAGTTTTCGCAAATGTTGCTTTAGGAGTTTTCAACATTTCACCAGTACATAAAAAAGTGCAGGTGGCATGGGTGCGAGTGGAAAAGTCAAGCAATGTTCTACATTAATTTTTTTTGTATGGTAACTGCCTTGTGATGTTTTGAGAAGCAAAATTGATGATTTTGTTACGTTTTATATTTGTCTCAAATCTTCCAGGAGTTGAAAAATAATTTGAAATCAACTCTAATTTTTGTTGACTGTTTCTGGGTCAGTTTCTGGGAAGATCAGCAGGAAATCGGCAACTTTTTTAGATATAGTTTTTCCAGTCGCAATATTAACTAACTGTTGGTGATCAATTAAATCACCTAATGAATTCATCGTTTCTTTTATTCCCTTACCTATCTCGTGATTTTATTTTTAATTTTTGTTAAGAATACGATTTTAATTAAAATAAAATGTTTTATTTCAATTCCATTCTGTTTATAATTGTATTGCCAAATGTAAAAATAAATATATTAGTTTATGAGTTTATTATTAAAAAAAGTAGAAGATATAAAATAATGGGAAGAACCATAAGGTATGAAGCCAAAAATGTATGTAAGAATTGAGTAAGGAAAACGTAAAAAACTGTAAGATTAGCAGTAAGAGCTTTAATTGTGAGTTAGAAATCTCTTGTTTTATTTATTATTATCGCAAATGCGATTAAAACAATTATAATAATGTTGTATATTCTTATAATGTTTATTAGATTGCTTCCCAAGAAGAGCTACATATAGTGGAACTCTAGGGGTAGTTTACCCCCTGCATGTGGTTGATTAACTCGAACTCACTTGATACTCACAATTACTTTATTGGTTCTCTAAGTACAATAATAGGGAGAGTACCCAGTTGACGTATGACAACACTAGCTTCGACTGTTTACTCTTACTTCTTAATTAGTCTTTTCCCCTTATTTTTCGGGTATTTAACTCACGTGAGTCTAGTTTATGCATTCATGTATATAATTTGTACACATTAGTTAATAAGCTTTCGATTACATTGCAAATTTCACTATGTCAGCGCGTGTTCTAGTTACATTGATATTTTCAATGATATAAACAAACAATCGCATTTATCAATAAGCAATGAATAACATTATTAAAAGGATCTTAAATTTTAAACTGAATTGGGTTACTTAGATCTGATTTCTGGATGCTTAATTAAATCCCGTTACACAATAACAATTACGGTGCGTTACATGGGAGGGGGGTCAAAAATCTTTAAAAATTGAGTTATGATAATTGAGCTGGTGGCCCATTTGGTTGAGATTAACAACCAAAGACAAACTAAAAACGTATGAGAAGCAAAATCAACAAAGGAAAGAAAAGGTGGAAGATGAAGTGCAACTTGGAATAATGAAGTAAGCAAAATATCCAATAACAGAGAAGAAACATGGAATGAGGCAAAAACAATGAAACGAATTAGAAAGGACTAACAGTCTTACTGTAACTTTGTGTATTGCTACAATTTCGACAAAAGTTAATCATTTTTATGTTTATAGTTTGCATTAGAAAGTTTGTTAAGACATTAACAACTTTTTCATTTATTATTTCGGAGAGTGTATATTATATATCCAAACACCCAACAACCTTCAGGTAAATTATGGAAATTACAATTATCTTGAGCAAAGAACTAATAAACAAATAAAAATTCAATGTATTTATAATGCAAAACCTGTTCTATAAATATATTTTCATCCTTTAGGTTGTACAAGTTCATTTCGATTTCAAAGATCGGACTGTGAAGTAGTATATCGGGTTAGTGCGAGTGATCACTAGTCAATATGACAAGGTTTTTTATATGTTCAATTATATTCTTGTTCGCGAATGTCGCTATCGCGTCGAAGCCTTTGCGTAAGTATTGTTAATAATCAATGCAATAAACTAGTTTTTGGGACCGGCTCAGGTCTCGTAAAAAATTGCTACATACTTTAATAAAATTAAGAATACGATTAAAGCCCAGTGAAAGAGTTGACCTAACAAAATCTTAATTTTGAAATATTATTTTTTAAAGTTTTAATTTTTTTTACTTTTACTAAAGAAATATAGCTTTTGCTTTTTCAACTTATTTTCTTATTTTTATATAAATGTATGGTAAAAATAAAATTATAATTTTTAAATTTAACATTTTACATAAAAGAAGTATACATGGCCTACTTTGCCCAGCAAATTTCAGTTTAATTTAAGTATTTATTTTCTTAGCACAATACAATTATTTTGAGAACTCCCGGGATATTAACAGAAAATTTTAATGTACTCATCACGTTTAATCACAATTAACATAATTCAATAAAACAAATTAAATACAAGGTGGGCAAAGTTGTCCCGAAAAAGTTCAACATTGCCCACCTATTTTTTGCCTAAACTTTCTGAAAATGACAACTAAAACTTGGTGGGGAACATATTTTCAGACTTCCTTATTTTTTTAATAGAACGTACATTCGCTCTATCCTAGATTATGGATGTTGGTTATATGAATCTGCCAGTAAGAACTTACTAAACAAAATTAAACATATTTATAAACCAATATCTGCGGATCTGTATTGGTGTCATGAAGACAATTCCTATTGAGCCCCTTCATGTTGAAGCACTTGACCCTCCAATTCCTCTTATAAGACATTTCTTGGCCGAAAAATTTTTATTGAAAATTAAATGATAGAACACTTTCCTTTATTCGAACCTTTCCGAATTAATAAATTTAAACAATTATGATTTAACGAATAAATATTGGATAAAGAAAAACTATCCAACCCTATGTGAAGATCTTAGAGAAAACACAGTTTCTGCTGATGAAGTTATTAATCAAAAATCACACACAGATATAAATGATTTTGAAACTTTTTTTATAGCGTTAAATTTATTAAACCAAACTATGTAAACACTGGAAGAGCAAATAACAACATTATAACAAGCATATTATTCAATTGGGATTAGTACAGTACCATCTACACAGATGCCTCCAAATGAAAAGACGGTACAGGATGTGCCTTTTACATCCCCATGGAGAAGGTAGAAAAAATGTTTAAATTAAAAGCAAATATTTCCATATTTAGTGCGGAAGCAATTGTCATATATCAAGCCCTACTTTTTGTTTCTAACAGGGAATCATACGTTATTTTTGTTTCAGATTCCATGTCTGTTCTCACAACCATTAACCAACCTTTTTTTACAACCACATACTTCAATCCCTAGATAATATTAATTAAAAAATTAGTGAAACACTTTAAAGAAAATGAAAAAATGTGATAGTTATAAAAGCCAAAGCACATAGTGGAATTAAATATAATGAACATGTGGACGAACTAGTCAAATTAAGTATTTATTCAGTGGATACCACAGAATATCTATCCAGTACTTCTGATTTGGTTGCTACACGCAAGGCCATCTTGAAATATAAATGGAGTGATCTATGATCTAAGTTTTGTTTTACCAACCCAAATAAATACACTTCTTTACACACCACTGTCCCTGTTTCACATTGGCATAGAACTTATAATATCCATAGGCGTTATATAACAACTATATTTTGGCTAAAATTTGGACATGCTTGTTTCCTGCTCATCTTGCAAGAATTCATGTGATTGAGAGTAACAACTGTGTGAAATGGGGAGTAGAAGTCGACCTTGATCATGTAATTTTTGGTTCTGCCAAATATAATTTGGAATCCACCTTATTATATAATAATATAGTTCATATTACCGGTAAATCTCCGTTTAACGTTTTATCTCCCCTAGCAATTCAAAATAGGTTATTTTACGATTGCATAATCGATTTTTTGACCAAACGTAATATTTTTCTTCAGTAAAAAAATAATTGTTTTACTTTTTACTTTTGTTTTCTCTCCTTTCTATCTATGTTTAATCCTATTTACCGTGGCCTAGTTTTCCTGTGTATGTTATATATAATAATGTTCTTATGGGCCCCTGGACGTGAAGCGAGTGACCCAAGTTAATTGTATGTGTTTATGGATATATGTATATATATGTGTGTGTGTGTTTGTGTGTGTGTGTGTGTGTGTGTGTGTGTGTGTGTGTGTGTGTGTGTGTGTGTGTGTGTGTGTGTGTGTGTGGTGTGTGTGTGTGTGTGTGTGTGTGTGTGTGTGTGTGTGTGTGTGTGTGTGTGTGTGTGTGTGTGCGTGTGTGTGTATGTATATATTTTTTCTCTTGTTTTCAATAATTGTTGTACTGATTTTCCAACTTTAAATTTATTTTAGTCAATAGATTGCAAATAATTCAAAACTTTTTTACTGCACCTAATGAGATTAAAAGATCATGTAACTGACTGTATGGCAAACTGCCGAAGCCGTATAAAAAAAAGCCCACCTATTTTACGGCAAAATTAAAACGTAATAGGACTACTTTGTCTACGGCATACGTTTTGATTTGACTGCTTTGCCCACGATATACGTTTTAAATTTTATTTTTAAATAAAAACTAGAACAAAAAGCTCTATTTTTCTAATCTCTAGAGTTTTTTATTAAAATACTTTTATTACAAAAATACAAGAAATTATTACACTTTTATGAAAAAAAAACATAAGAAAAATTATAACTGAAAACAACTTAAATTTTCTTTAAAAGAAAAATATCCCTTTAATATTTTTCTGTCTTCAAAATTGACGTCCGATATTGTCTGATATGTATGGATAAACAAAACCATTTATATTTTTTATGTTTAACGGTTTATTTTGTAGGAAATTTTACTATCACAAAAGTACCAATTTTTAGATTATTTCCATCTACTTTTCTAATCTTTATCTAATTTTCGTCGTCATTCGTCTCCAGCTCTTTTTCTCCTTCTAAATCCTCGTTCCCACTTCCCTCTTGATTCTGATTAAATTCTTCAAATTGAACTAATTGACCGGGTTCAGTATTAAGCAACTTTTTCTTCAGAGCATACTCTTTTTACAAATCTCTCATTCGGCATCTTTTTTAGCACTTCATGTGGGTCAAAGGGACAAATTCCAGTTGCGCGAAATGAACTTTGAAGATTTTTTTGAAAGTTTGGTTCAATAGCGTCTTCTATTAATTTTGTTAGCAATTGAGGAAAGATGGTTTTTTTTAACTAAATTTAAGTTTGGTTGACTAAATTTTAAATCAGTAAGGATCTTTTTCCAGGCTCTTTTTAAAGATCGAAAAAATTAAATATTAAATGGTTGTTTAAGCCCTGTAGAATTAGGTGGCAGAAATATAAACCTTATATTTTCCCTTTGACAAGCCCTTATTATCTCAATATTAATTAGTAATAATATTAATATTAATAATAATTATTTCATTATTAAAAAATTTATATTGTTAAGTCTATTATTATAATATTTTTATAATTCTCCACGCTCATAAGTACAAGGTGTCCTGCTATCTTATCTCGCCACCATAGTCGGAGTCGTTTACGTGGTTTTCTTTCCATACTAGTCTATTCTAACTATTCTTTCGTCAGAATGTCTTCCAAGCCAAGCCAACGGGAGTCTTCTGGACTTTATTTCTTGTACTATATTGACGTTTGTTTATAGTTCTTCTACCTCTTTGATAGTTATTATCCTTTATTGTCCTATAGTCCCAACAAGACAAGGAGTAACTGTAAAAAAACAAACATTTTAAAAAACTGACGTACACTTAGATTTACAATACTTACAGAAATTAAAAGATTTCACACATAAATAAACTTGACATTAAAATAAACATTTTTGATAATGTAAATGCATGTTAAAATATAAATATATTTGAGCACGTTCGTTAACAATAAATAAGATGGAAACAACTAAAAGTTATTTAAAATGCAAAAACTAACAATGTAAGAAAACATTAGAGGAATATTATTTCTTTAATTAATCATTAAGGCTAGTTAGTATGATTAATCATTAAGTTGAGTGAGTTTTAAATTTTGTTCAATATATTGCAATATATGTTGCTTAATTGCCCCGTGTCTGTTTTATAATTTAGTAAGTTTGTTTATTTTTGTTGATGTGGTACATCTCCAAAAATAACCTACTTTTGTAATTGTCAGTCTGTGCCAAAATACGAGCATTGTTATAGTCTAACAAATGACCGGTGTTTTTATAATGCTCGACTACTGCACAACTATTTTTTCCCAAGCGGCAATCACTTTTGTGTTGTGTGATAAGTTGTTTTAGCCACTGCGATGTATGGCCAATGTAGCTTTTTTCATATCCTAGACACGGTATTTCATATACCACATTACTCCTATATAAGGTTGGTACTGGATCTTTAATTTTGGAAAAAAGTTGTTTGCTATTTATGGTATTGTATTTAGCTATATTAATATTGGAAACATCTTTAAATATGGATATGACTGAATGAGTTAGGCCATTGATAAAGGGAAGTTTTTTATATTTGATTGACTCATTGTTGGAATCAAGGACAGAACCATCATAGAAATTACTGCTGTAAATGAGTTTTTTTTAAATATGTTTAGGATAGCCGTTGTTTCGAAAAAAAATTTTTGAACATTATAGAATCAAATTGGAACCTTAGAGAGACTACACGACATTATCTAAAGGTAATTTTCTACTAATTCTCAGGTTCATTTTTAATAACACTTATTTCAGTTTCAATGGAACACCTATGGGTTCCCCGATTAGTCCCATCCTTGCTACTATTGTAACTGATCATCTCTTAGACAATGTGATCATGCAATTACCTTTCGAATTACCATTTATATATAAATATGTCGATGACATCATATGTGCAGTTCCATCTTATCACATCAATACCACATTAAACATCTTTAATTCATTTAACAAACATCTTCAGTTCACAATTGAAACAGAGACAGATCTTAGTATACCATTTTTAGGCACAAAGGTAATAAGAACAAATGACAATATTCTGACATTGG